CTGTTCCATATTTCTTTTGCCGTTGTGCATGAGCTCACTAACCGAAACGTGTCCGATTGTAAAGCAAACTTGATCATTCTTAAAGCTTTGATGTTGCACTGAAACTTTTCCTTCTCATCTTGGGGAATATCTTTCACATCACTGATGAGTTGATTGTACTCCTTTTGAGTTTTAGCAACTCTTGAAGATTTTGAGTGAGCGAATGGACCTACAGTAATCGCCTCCCAGATCAAGTATCCGTTGTCTTATGAGCCAATCACGTAATCTTCAAAGTGATGAGTCCAGACCTCATAATCCTGAGTGTACAATATAGGAATCCTTGTCGTAGATCCTATGTTGTTGGAGATATTGATTGGGTTAGACTGAGAATCATCCATAGACATGACAATGTTTTGTTCAAAAACCTGCTTAAGATCAGACTTGTAAATAACGTTAGGGTAAGATCGAATATTTAAAGAACTACGTCAATAGTAAATGACGGCTCTAACAATATCAATCAAAGCGGAAAACCCTAAGATCTTCTTCAACAGAAGAGATGTGTATGAATTACACAGTCTCCTGCTCTGATACCAATTTGTTGAGTTGAAAAACTCTTAGATCGATTAGATCTTCAGCAGGTTAAACAATAAAAGTAAACAAACACAATTAACACGATATAGAAACAAGTAATGCTTAATGATTCAAATGTAGTCACGCCTCAGCAGAGCTTGATTAAGAACTTCCACTGTAGAGGCGAACTAGGGTTTGCAGTACAATTATCAGAAAAATGATTGAAGCCCCATCAATAAAGGATGCATGCATGCACCTTAAATACTAAACCCTAACAAAACAATCACGGTTGGACAGACCCAAACCGGATAACAAAACTGGGCTAAGGACCGAGCCCAAGGACGCAACACAATTAGACCCAACAATCTCCCCCTTTGCGTCAAATGAGGCGAGAGACTACTTCGGTTGAGTGACCTTGACCTTCTTCACAACCTTGAACAGCCGAGGGATGATCGCAAGAAGTGTCTGTCGAAACTGAATGTACCAACGAAGCATATCGGTGAACAACTTCTTGTCAGCTTCACTGTTCTGATTACACCTGTGTATGATTTCCAAAATGTGCTCCAAGCAAGCATTAGAGAACAGGTGCTTGTCAATAAGAGCGAACAGACACTTTTGACCTTCGCCCCTAATGAACATCACTGTATGAAACTTAGGGTCGATTTTTCCCTTGATCATCGCATTCACATTGCCAGTTCTTCCAATCGGTTTTATCATAGTTCGCTTGTGAATGGCAGATGCGATTTCTTGATCCACCTTTGCTACTTCGTGAATGTAACAAACAAGCATTCGCTTGACGTGATCAATGATCGGCTGATACTCCTGAGGATTGGACAACAAAATATTGTTGAGGAGTATCCAGTCGTGCGGGTTCAAGTTCGGTAGATCAGCCAGGGAAATAGTATGGACCGAGCTATCTGAGCCTCGGGTCACTTTGAATTTAAAATTAACAAATTTCCCAGCCGAAGAAGGCTTCAATACCTTGACCGTTGTAATCTTCTTTGTGCTCCATGTCAAGTATTGCGGCTGAGCAAACTCCAGATAAAACTCCAATAAATCCCGATCTACCTTCGGGTTTGGAAAGGGAACGACAGCCGTTGAGTCAAAGCAATGGAAGATAAATGTCTTTCGGGCGATTGGCATATTGAATTGAGCATCCTTCGAGTTCTTAAGACCGAACGACATAACAGGTTCAAACCAGTGAGTACTCGGTTCATCAATGACCTCCCTCTGGAGCGATTCAATGGTCCATTCCGGAAACATGGACTTCTTTTTCTCTAAGAGTTCTTTTAAGGGATCATAGATTCTATTAATTTTAAAAATCCGATTTTACGAATTATAATTCTTTTAATTCGGACATTCTGACAGAATGTGTTTTTGAGTATATTCAAAAATAAAAATATTCTTGAACCATAAATAATAAAAATATTATTGAACCTATTTCTTGATCATGACTTTAAAAACTTCTCGTAGAATAACAAATTCTTGAACAATTAATTGAAGAATAAAAACAAAAAATACATTATTTCTTATAGAATACGGGTAACAATTGTTAAGAATTACATTTATTGTTAAAGAATAAAACTAAAAAAACTTTCAAAACCGGAAAAAAAACATCAAAATCTAACAACGACACTACTACATTCTAAAATAATAATGTTGCTTAGAATCACTTTCAATTTTGCGGTCCGTTCTTCAAGCATCAACTTCTGTGAAAACAAAAATCAAATTGTAGTTTAGATTCCAACAGAATTGGAATTCATGATTCCATTCCAACAGAATTGGAATTCATGATTCCTTTTATCTTCTTCATGTCAATCTCAAGAATTGTACCATACGTTTATGTTTTCTTTCCCTTAGATCACAATGTACTCCATATCTATCAAAATTCACAATTATACAATAAGATCATCAAGAGAATTGATTATTTTTTTATCTATTTAACTAGTAAAACCCAATCAAAAGAAACATACCCAATTCTGTTTTCCTGCCAAAGAACACCACTAGAGATGGATAAACTTGGTTCTTGCTTCTATATTTATGACACAGTCGATCTTTCACCTCGTAAAACTGCAGTTCATATTCAAGTTTTATGAAACATATATGTAACAAAACAAACACATATTTATGAATTTTATGAAATAAATGCGTAAACAACAAAAAATAAAAAGTTCATATTCTTTAATAAGTGATTTAACAATTTGAGCCCTAAAACTGTATAGCACCCTAAGCAATTTAACAATTTCCAAGAAGAATTAGCAATTCAAATAATTGAACAAAGCAACACCAAACCGTGACATATTTTAAGAGACAATAACATATATGCAATACCCCATGGACAAAAATACCCTTCCAACAATACATTGAGACAATTTCAATTGGATTGATCAGCTAAATACTAATTAATGACTGCTGAATTTTTCTCCAATTGAACCAGATTGTAGCGACATTTTTCTCCAAGTGAAACAAATTGTATCGACATTCATCATGGCATACATGAGATACAAAATAATAAAATGATAAAAACTCAAACCTGAATGCAGAAAGCAAGTCCCAAAAAATTGTTAGCCAGCCAATGCTTCGTCTATGCACGCTGTTGATTTTATTCAGAATTTCTGCAAATTCAGGCCGTTGATTCAGGGCTTCGTCTGTACATGTTGTCCTCCTTAATTTCCTTCAGCATCGGCCGTCCAGTGCTTTGTCGATTTTCGTTGGTTTTTGCGCCGGCAAGTTGTGGAATCATCGGCGGAGATTATCTTCGGCTTCGATGTGTTGACAGAATAACACATGAACATGGAAGGGTTTTGGTGGTAGTCGTCGGCAGCGGTGGCTATAAGGAAGGAAAAGCGTCGATACCCTCTAGGATGCTAGGGCTTTATCTGGTGGGAGATTGAGGAAGACATGCTTATTTATTTAGTCAAAACCATGATTATAGGGATTATTTTTGGAATTTACTAAACAAATTACTAAATTACCCTTATTTATTTATTTAATTATTTAATTTTGATTGGCCCACATTTATGCATACAATAACACAATAATTACTTTAAACATCTGAACCTCTCTCTCTCTCTCTCTCTCTCTCTCTCTCTCTCTCTCTCTCTCTATATATATATATATATATATATATATATATATATATATATATATATATATATATATATATATATATATATATATATATATATATATATATATACACACTAACGTATTGTTGATGAACAGTGATGCTGATGAATAATGAATGAATACGAAATAGTGAACAACAATTCAAAAAGTTAGCAATTCAATAGGTGGCGGTTATCAAATAGTTATCAAATCTTTGATCGGCAAAATCTAAGCCATATGAAGCGCAATTTTTTTACTTGAAAAAATATATATGGTATACAAAACTCAAATTTGTGTGGGTTGGGTCAAGGCCCACATTTGCCTCCATATGGCTACGCCATTACGAACATATACTAAGATCTCAACATAATAATCATCAAATCAGATAAAGATAAAGATTTACAATGTGTAAGTTCCTAAATCAAAATTAAATTACACTAAATACACTCAAACCAATTCATTTGCAAATTTAACGCCTATGGACCTAGTATTAGAATCATGTTTGGTTTGTAACAATAAAGTGAATGGAGTGGCAAATATCTCTTATGTTGTTACCCTTCTAGCTTTCGTATGTAATGGTACTTTCCAAATATATGCTTTGTGCGCTTGTGATCTTTGAGTTCTTTAGCCGATGTGAATGCACCCTCATTGTCACTGAAGATCTCAGCACGACCATGAATGTTAGGAACAACACTGAGATCGATGATGATTGATGAACTTCTTTATCCACATGGCCTCCTTTGTAGCTTCATTAACTGCAATATACTCAGCCTCTCTGTCATCGAGATCCACTAGTATCTTGCTTGAAACCCAAAGTTTAATCGTTTTCTTTTGCCATGTCATGTATCAATTTGATTATTCTTTTTTTCATCAAAATTCCACCTCATCAAAGGTCAAAAATGGCTTTTGTGAAAAAGAAATGAAAATTCATAATGGTGTTTAAAAAACATCATTTAAAAAGACAAAACAATAAAAATATGAAAATGTGTCGCAATTAATAAGACTTAATATCAAACTCAAAAACTCATATTTCAAATGGCGTATTTCCTTTAAAAAAAATGAGACACCTCTTGGAACTCTTTGCGCCATAGCAATCTAATAAAAAGACTGTAACCACAAAAAGTATTACCTAGATGGCATGATGATGATATATACCTAGTTGAAGGGAAGGTTAGAAGTTAGTGATGGTATTTACAAACGGCACCAATCGTTTGTAGTCCCGTTTTCTCCCAAGAACACAATTATCAAGCACCCGCCCAAGAATCAACCGGGTATTCCGTAAACCCAACTCTTTGCCCGACTCCTCAGTTGTTCCACCTCCACTGTGGGCCATGAATGATGACTCATCCACCCCCACCCCCCACCCCCACCCCACCAAGGTTACTTTCGTAATACGCCACCGGATCATGGATAGACCCGTAATTATGCAAAAGAGCTTCCAACACACTTAACGCCTCTGAACAACACAAACCACTTTCAAGAAGCTGTGAAACAAGTGCATATATTTGTGAGCTCTGAACAGCATCCATCGGAATATGCTGAAGAAACTCCTGCAATATTAATAAAACAACACGCTGATATTCAATAGGACCTTTCTCCAAAACACCAACCAAATGTCTCAAACCCAATGACAAATGCTTCCCTACCCATTTCTTACATAACAACGCTGAAACACACACAATCATATCCTCTATACTTTTTATTCTCCCTTGAGAATACTCCGTGAAAACACACGCTAATTCATCTAAACATTTCGCCCGACACCATATTGCAAGATTCACCGAAACCAAACACGCGTTTTGGGGGGAAAAAAGTGTACCCCACAACTGCTTCCGGGTTTAAATGTAAGCATAGCCACGGAAGCAAACCGATGATATGCATCAAAAGTCTCGTCTCCGGGTCCCCGAATATGGAATCACAAGAGGGCACGGTTAACCGTGAGAGAACCTTGATTGAAACATCGTGACTCACGGTTGACATGAGTCCTTTGAGTACAAGAGGCTGTATGCCTTTGAAACCCGGGATTCTCTGAAACTCAAAGTCAAAGTCAAAGTCAACCACACTGTGGTCAAACTCGTCCCGTGGCATGCTTGAAAGAAGAACGTTTTCTGTTGTTCGATCTGAAAATACTAAATGGTCAATCACACGCAGGAATAGCTCAAGCACCTGACAATAAACATGAACGAAATCCGTATGCATCATCGCGACACACCCCCAGAAAAGATGGGGGTATAGAATTACCTTCTCGGGCTCCACATTTTCCACCATGACTTGTAAAGTCAACAGAATTTCCATAACAAAACCCAAAACTTCGGGTACAGGGTTATGTAAGCATCGATGAAGGCATCTGAGGAGAAGGATGCATGCATCATGGTTGACCTGGGGTCGTAGGGCCCGGTAGATTTGGTGGGACCTACACGAGAGATGTCTAGACGTGCACTCCATTGCCCATTTGAGTGCCTCGGTTCCCCATGTCTCACGAAGATCACCTTGAAAAAAGATAGCTTCCACCATGCTTTGCACAAGTGCAGACAATAGCTTTGTACTTTGGAGGTTGATTTCAGTGACTGTGGGGTCCTCGTTTTCCCACATCATGTTCCCGCGTTTTGAATGGACGTATTTAATCAAACTCGCAACTTGTTGTCTGTTTTCCCCGTCATTATTTTCAACAGTGTAAAGCTCCAGATGTCGCCCACCGAGTGAATATAGTAAATTAACGAGCAACTGCTGACAGTGTTTTAGAACAATGTCTTCTGAGCTGTCCATGGAGACAAATGTCACATGAAAAAGTAAAGGTAAATGCTCCCTGAAATCTTCGTCGTTTTCATAAGCAATTTCTGCAAGTAGGATCAGAGCTATATCTGCATGGGTTAAGGAATGTTGCTGCTGATGACCTTGTAAGGCTGTATGAAGCTCTTTAGCACTAACACCGAGTATTCCACTAAAAGCATGCAGACCATCTACTTCAGAATTCGAATTCGGTGTCTCGATCAGGTAATCCCCACTATCCCGAGAAGCATGTCGGCTTCGTGAATTCCAGACTCCCATTAGCGGTGACATCAACGGAATCAGCTGGCTAGACCTTCCGGAAGTTACCGGAGCAAGGTTTATCCTTGTTAGTTGACCATCTACAGATCCTCGAACCTGTAATGGTGACAAATGAGGCGGCGGGTTTAGGTTATCAACAACAAACGCAGTACTCTGCATCTGAACTGGTGTTGGAGTTGGACCCTGAGAAAACTCCAAAATGAAATTTCCCAAATCGCCCTTGTTAGATGTTGGTCTGATGGGTTCTAAACTATCTTCAAGCATTCGTTGGGCTAATTGGTAAACCAAGTGATCGATCGTACCTTGTGGAGAAATTCTAGCTAGATATAAACTTACTCTTTTAGCAACTGAAAAATATGTAGCAAACGCACCGCTTATTTCCGTTGATGCATTGGAATCGCAATCTTCAATTCCTTTAGTGATTAAAAAATCAAGAACCGGGCGGATGTTACGCGTCTTACTCGCAATAGTTCTCCAAAGCTTCTCGATTTCATTGGGAAAATGATCACCGTGTCGCCACGTCACATAATAAAGACTTTTCAATAATCTTTTACTCCACCCTGAATTTTGAAGCTTCCAAAAGTCAAGATTTTCGATCCAAGGAGCCATACATGTTAAAACTTGGTGTTGCGCGATTATATCAACCGCGTCTAGTTGTCTCTGCATGATTTCCTCACAAAGAAGCTGACTCAGCTCGGGGCGATCTTTGGCAAGTTTGCAAGATAATTTGTACTGAAACTGTTGGTAGAAATCCGGAAGGTTCCCAACTACTGCAGCTTGATAGCAGCTTCCGGAACTTTCAATCTTATCTTCTTCAGCCCATTCGCGGATATATAAAGTTTCAAGCATTTGTAAGGCATCATCACGAACCTGTCTAGATGGGTCCACCACTTTATAAAGAATCAAACTCAAGAGTCGTTGGATTTCACATTTAGGCATTTCTTGACGCATGTAGACTTCAGCCAATACACTGAAGTATCCATCTGCTACACCCGCATCAGAATAATAGCACTGATCAATGCAAGCAGGAAAAAGGTCTAAATTTGTAAGAATAAGATTCTTTAAAGCTATTTTAGCAAGGGAAACACGAAGGTGACCAGATCTGGTTCTATCACGTCCAGTAGCTCCTCCTCCTCCTCCTGTGTGTTTATTAGCATAAAATGGAGCTCTTGGATCAGTGGGTGAATAACCAAAAGTGGCCCTGGGTGCAGAGTCAATGAAGAGACTATTAATCCAATATATAATCCTTCCACTCATTTTTCTCGCATTATCAAAATCAAAACAAGGTCCATATAACAATGAAGCCATGGCATTCATGGAAGCCCATTGCACTGCTTCAACCTGTTCAGAAAGTTCTCTGTCAAACGAGACTCGGTCAACCGAATCTTTTGACCGCGTGTAGCGACTAGACTTGTATCGTTCAACTTCACGCCGATAATCACTTAACCCGTCCTGAGTCAATGCACTACCTGAGTCATCACACCATGAGAGAAAAAGATCGAATAATCGCTTTCTGGTTTTCGGATCAAATTTTTCTGATTTTGAGTCCACAAATTCAGGAGCCAATGGGATTAGTACACATGCAAGTGTGTAACGAAGAGTTTGCATTTCATGAAAATTCTCAAGAGGTCCTGTTGTGATTAATCTGGTTGTTTCATCGATGTATTTCAAATAATGAAGGCGGAAAACAGGCTTACGCGACAGCATCCCAGGCCATATGTTCTCAGCAACACTTCTGTATACATTTGCAATGTGGATTCGGAGTTCTTCACGTCGAGGTTTTTGACTCTGTGTCAAAAGAATATAAGATATTACTGTTTAATTATGTATAAATTATGATGTGAGTAAATAAGTGTATATGAAAGGACAAAATACCTTCCATTTTGGTTTTCCTTCTGTTTCTGAAGAAATTTCGTCCATATAAGATGCCAGCTCACTGAACATTACTTCACACACTTCCAGATGTGAATGACCAAGAGCCATACTGGAAGAATGCTGTCAAGACTATGTTACTTTTACTGCATCATGTGTAGAGTTTTTCTTTTATTTTTTATAAATACACAAAGTTAATGGATAATACTTACAACATATGCTTCAGAACCAGATTTTAGTGAGGGAATTATGAGTCGGAATAGCTCTCGTGTTGATGATGTGCCAGCGCCTTCCCTTCCAGGTGGACAAGAACAAGCAAACACAGTATACAACAGCCACTGGTCTACTTTGTTGTCTGCATCTTGTAACTGATGAGCCTTTCCCCCCAATTCAACAGGTGTCACAAGTGCAAGTCTTTTAATAATCTCTACCCTGAGAATATATATATAAGTATCAGTTAACCATTCAATAAAAAGCAGAATACAGTTAAAAGTAAAAAAAAAAAGTTCAAAGTTGTGATTACTTTGCTTCCTGAATGGAACGTGAACAGAGAAGTGCACCATATTTGACAAGCTCACTAAGACAACGAGGCCATCTGTACTTATCAGGGCTTTCAAAAAGCATAGCTTCAAGTGTCACATCAGGAGGTGCCACGTCAGATTCTCGTCTCAGATCAAACGGACGGCTGGAATCCCAGTAACAGCTCTGAAAAATCTCATCCCCATTTTCCTCAAACACATCGATCATTAGTATAGGCTCTATGAGATCCGACTTTTCACATAACAGAAAGCTTTGTATATCATTTCGTAAAGCACGCACACATCGCAACAATTCCAATGCTGTGTGCCTAATATGAGTATCAGCAGAAGTAAGAAAGATAAGACCAACTGCTTCAATCTCTGAAGCATGGAAATCATCATGTTCAACATTATCGTCAGAAAGAGAAGCTCTCCATAAACGCAAGAGTTCTAGAAGGCGGCTTATTGATGTTTGAATGAGAAGAGGGAACTCGTCTGGAAGGCGTAAGATGAGATTCACCATACCTCTCATAACTGCAAACCGACGTTCAGGTAGGAATCTCACAATTCTATTCAGTGCTTGTATTGCTTCCTCACGAATACCAGGATCAATGCTGATACTATGTTGGGGTATTATCTCAGTCATTCTATCACTTCTACCAACATCTTTAATCAGGTATGGTATGCACTTTAAAACTGACCGAAAAAGATACCCTTGTGACTTCTCCTTTGTGATGGCATCTATAGTTGTCTTTGAAGAGGTGAGAAGTGCCAGATTGTAAGCTCTATGGCATGACCTTAATATAGACTCGATTGCAATCTTTACTTTTGGAACGTAGTGACCCAAGTCCTGAGCTGTCATGATCATAATAGACCAAAGTCAAAAAGGAAAGATTTGAAAATCGGACAAAAAAGGATTAATCAATCAATCAATCACCATGAAGGGTTTCCAAGCCGATATGTTCGCTTGTGGGGGCCACTGAAATGCCAAGTAAAGAACGAAGACCAATGACCTTCGCCTCACTTGGACTATCTTGCTTAAGCAATTCCAGTATCACATGATTGATACAAAAATCAAGGTGATGTTCCCCTATTGTAACACAGAGTTCAACAAGTTTATCATGGTGGACATCTTGTGTAAGCATCCCTCTTTTAAGAGCTGTTAGAAGCTGTGCAGTCACACTGTCCAGGTAGTCCCATACCCGGTTTGATTGTTGGGACTCCCCATGAACACTCAGATAAAATTTTGTAACACAGTGTATACAATCCAGAGCCATGAACCGGTTGTTCTTATCCTGGAAAATAAACAAATATATACTGTGTAACCTGATAGAAGAATATAAATGTTATAATGTTAATGTGTCCATGTAAAGTTACCTTTAGATGTTTGTACAGTTGCTCAGTATGAACAGTAAAGTTGCCGAGAAAAACAAGAGGATCACCAAGACAAAGAAGCAGAGTCACCAAAGGGTAAGCAGCCTAACACAAACAACAAAGAAAATAGAAGATCAAGCCAAAAGAAGAGGATAAAACAAAAGGCAAATTGCAGGGAATAGCAATGTACTTTACTCTTTTTACTACCCATAATAGCAACTTGCTTTCATTTCTTTACCAAGAATAGCAATGTGCTTTGTTTGTTACCCATAATAGCAACATAGATATATTTCGCTACCAATATTGGTAATATACTTTATCAGTCACATATTTCTATTATCTAAGTATGTAGCTAATAAGTGTAAGGAAATAAAAGTAACACTGCTAATATGGGTTACATATTGCTACTATCAATAAAAAAATGTAAGCACGAAGCTACTATGGGTAGAGAAATGTAGATATATTGCTATTATGGGGGAAGAAAATAAAGTATATTGCCAATATTGGTCAAAAGAGTAAAGTACGTTGCTATTTTCTGCAATTTACCCTTAAAACAAATTAAGCTACAAGGGTTAGAATTCAGCATTTACTTACAGGTATATGCTTGCTCTGTTTGTCTGCCCAATGAATGATTTGTATCCTTACACGTGCAACAGCTTCATACCATGCAGGAAGTGCACGTTGCATGCCAGGTGGAGGCCAGTGAGCTTTACCACCATCTGCAAGTGGGCCCAAAATGCTTGACAACATATTGCAAAGCACATGGTGAAGTTCACTTTTTCGTTTGCTGGGAGCACGACTCAGTGGATTGGCTTTTGCCAGAAAAGATGCTGACCCATTGATACCACCCTCCGTCTTCACCTTAAATATTTATTTATCATATAAATCATATAATATTTTAAGAAAATAAAAAATGTGTCATGTATACCCCGAGCTTTAGATGTCGCATCCCGTTAATGATGCTGAGGGTTTCGGTTCGGGCCCCACTAGTATCGATACGACGGGTGTTGAGTTCCATGAAAAAGTGTCCAGTTACAGATGTGAACCTATTCAGGAGATGTGAAGCATTCTCAAACTACTGAAACACACTGTAAAAGTAATTATATGACAGTGATGCATCATGCGTGTTTGTAAATGTCATGCTAATCGTGCAATTGTTGGAACTTTTTTAAAGAGACACTATAAGCAAAGCTATTGATTATCCTAAATGTCATGCTACAATGTTTAGTGAACAAGGGTTTTTATATTCATCTTAATGATTTAAAGTATTTAGTAATTTATCGAAAGGAAATTAAGTATTAGGGATAGAGTTGTAAGTGCATTATGTAATTTATGATTTGTATGTATAATTAAACCAAACTCTATGAGTCCCGACCCAAAAAATTAAATCAAACCCAAACCTGCAAAACCAAATTAAAACCCAAAAAGCCCAAATCCATAATTCTTGGTAGTTGGTATATCCAAATGATACTTAGGAGCATAAACCAAGACATTTATTAACCTAACTGCTGATAATTACATTTGATTAATATACAGATAAAATCACATTGCAGTGCCTTTTGGTTGTTTGTAAATCTACAACTAGATGAACAGATAACAGAAGCTACCTACCGTTCATCAAAGAACCATTAGGATTTAGGAAAAATAAATAATAAGATATATGGAATTCTCAAAATTTACAAATTGCACTCGTTTATTAAGTCTTTCAAGAAAGAAAAAAATCAATGATAAGCTCGAGAAACAAAACATGCATTGCCTTTCTTCTAAAATGCACTTTGGTCTAAGGCATCAATAAACACATAGTAAGAAAAAAAAACTGACCGAATTTACCAATCACCTGATCTGTGATAGAGCACCCACAAGCTGTGCAACTAAGTCTAGAAGGAGCCCCCTCAAATCAGCCAACGAAGGATATTCAACCTGACTTACAACCCTGTAATCAGCAAATTTATCAAATAAACACAACACCACATGACATAATTCCAATTATGCCACTTGAAATCAATGAGTACATCAACTAGATATCTTCAAATTTCTGAAGACAACTTGCCCTTACCTGTCAGCATTGATCAACCAATCAAATACAAAATGTTCAAGCCCACTCCATAGTTTTTCTGCAATTACAATAAGCATATCCTGTTTTAGAACAAAATGACTTAACTTACAAGGATTAAGGATAGACTAATGGTGGAACACCCAAACCTGTAAGTCCATCAGGTGGACAACACTGCACAAAGCGAATACAAGCTGAACAAAAAATGCACTCCACTGCAAGCTGATCCAATCAAACCATCATTATAACTACACTTTCACAAACAAGGAGATGCACACAAGAAATATTAAGTCATTTGAACCTTTTTCTGAAATGCAGATGTATCATTTGCACCTTTTGGGGATTCACTGCAAAAGAAATCAGAACATATTCATAATTCCAGAGATACAATGGACTGATGAAGCTCTATATACATCATTGTACATCTCTTTAACAAATTAGCTGCCTAAAATCTGAATATTAAAAGGAAAAAACTCACCTGTCTCTCCAGCGAAGAAGCGCTTCAAGAAGAGGTACAGGCATGTGTCGAGCCACCAAAGCTAAGGAATCCAACACTTGTTCATAAGCTGGATCCGATGGCCGAAGGTAGCGTCCATCCTGTAGTTCCCCCACATAATTTGAAGAAATAAGAAATTTACTGGAAGATCAACTAAAACAAACTTTTGATTATAAGAAACAGCATGCAGAGTGACTGAACCATTCTTACATGTGCTTGTGTTGTTTCAATCCTACGTCTAGCAAGTGGAAGGAACCGTTGTAGCAGGGCATCCACGATAAGCTTAGCGGCGCTCCCCATTTTCAGTCTAAGTAAACTTCCAACTCGACATTTTCGCTTCACAACCAAACCTGTGAATTGTGATCCTTCAAATCACCGGTGTCGCTTACGGTCAAAACTACAGTGATTCATCAAACTACTAGAGGTCTCGATTTATAGTTCACCGTATATACAAATTGTAAATAAAATGTGGCGTACCTTAAGAAACCCTGAAGGCAAAAACCAAAGCCCTGTCGTCGTCGTCAACAGCGAACAGTTTTCAAAATTACCCCTGTCCATGTCCATCCGGGAAAAATAGTGTAAAATTAAACAATAATTTCTCCATAATTGGAGTTTCTCCGCCATTGATGACGAAAGCAAAGCTTCGGCATGTAATTCGTTCGTCATTGCAAATTCTGCTTAAATCCCCAAAATGCCCTTAAGCCTTTAGGTATGTTTTTCACATGTACAGGAATTGTTGACCAGCACGACACGAAACACCAAACTAAAATTTGAATTCGTGTTCGTGACAAGTGTAAAAAACACGATGTTGTGTTTGTGTTTAAAATCCGACACGAAATTGACACGATTTAGCATTTGTTTGTCGTGTTTTTTATGTTTTCGTGTTATATATGATTAAGTGTTAATTAAATATATTAATTGTTCTTTTATGATATATTTGTTGTGACGTGTTTCTCGTTTTTTTAATTGGTTCATTTCGTGTTAGTTAAAAAAACACGACATTGTGTCGTCTCGTGTTCGTGTTACATAAAACATTGTCATGTCGTGTCATACCAAACGAAAGCACGACACGATTGTGCGATTTACCACTCCTAGGCATGCTCGTGCTGAAATTCCCAAAATGCCCCTAAGTCGTCATAGGTGAAATTGTCAATGTAGTTGGTTCAAATATTATCACTTATCAGATTTGATCATTATTTTATTTTATTATTTCGCAATAAATCATTAAACTTACAAGTTACATGACAATTAAGTCACTTCCATTGATTTTTAACGGATCCCCGATTACCGAGCCTACATTGAAGTGTGACATGTCGATGAAATTTAATGATCTATTGCGCAAAAAAAATAGTTTAATAGGCAAATCGGGTAAATAACAATAGTCGATCATGATATAATGACATTTTCCCTTTTTTTATGTTTTATAGTAACGTCCTAAAAGTTTGTAGTAAAATTTTCATTTTAAAAGCACTTAAACTATACAAATGAGTTGTTCCAAAACCAATCAAAGTGATTATATCATTTAAACATCAGATTAAAAATCATAAATAGCCAATACAGAAGGCTCTTGGAACTAAGTTGGATATGAGCACGGCTTATCATCCTCAGACAGATGGACAGAGTGAGAGAACAATTCAGACATTGGAAGATATGTTGAGAGCCTGCGTCATCGACTTCGGCACGTCATGGGACACTCATCTTCCTTTGGTTGAATTTTCCTACAACAACAGCTACCATACCAGCATCAAGGCTGCGCCATTTGAAGCCCTCTATGGTCGTAAGTGCAGATCCCCTCTATGCTGGGCTGAAGTGGGTGACACGCAGCTAGCCAGGGGTCAAGTCCCTGACAGCACTCTCACTGGTCCTGAGATCATCCGAGAGACGACTGAAAAGATCGTACAAATCCGAGAACGGCTGAAGGCCTCACAAGATAGACAAAAGAGCTACGCCGATAAACGACGAAAACCCTTGGAGTTCCAGGTTGGAGACCGTGTCCTGCTTAAGGTCTCACCCTGGAGGGGCATGATACGTTTTGGAAAGCGTGGAAAGCTAAATCCAAGATACATAGGACCCTTCGAGATCCTCGCTAGGATCGGTCCCATAGCCTACAAACTTCGTCTACCCCGAGAACTTAACAACATTCATCCTGTCTTCCACGTTTCGAATCTTAAGAAATGCTTATCCGACGAAACCCTTGTGGTCCCTCTCGATGAAATTGAGATCAACGAGAACCTAAACTTTGTGGAAGAACCGGTCGAAATCATGGATAGAGAAATCAAACGAACGAAACAAAGTCGCATCCCGATACTGAAGGTTCGCTGGACTGCCAAGCGGGGACCTGAATTCACTTGGGAGCGCGAAGATCAGATGAAACAGAAGTGTCTGCATCTCTTTCCTAATTCATGATTTGTATTCTATGTTCGAATTTCGGGACGAAATTCCCTCTAACGGGGGGATGATGTGACAACCCGAAATTTCTAACTTGTGTAAACATTCAAATTTATCAGTGTTAGACTCATTTTGCTCCAAGTTATCATTGTTTGGAACCTGTTTTGAGTATCCTAACTCTAGTGAATCAAAGGAATTAGTATTTGGAAGTGTCAGTTTAAGTTCTAAACTACCTAGCAACCGTAAACCTCCTGAAAAAGGAGTTTACGGTCGAGACCTTGAGTTTACGGTCAGAGTAACCGTAAACTCCTCCCTATATATATAATGGTTGATCATTTCAGCCATTCTTTTCACTTTAAACACTTCAAAGGCTTTCTCTCTCTACTCCCTCTCTACCTTCATCGAGAATCCTCAAGAACACGGTTGTGTTTTGGACCGAAAACACCCCCATTTGCCTCCAAATCTTAAGTACCATCCTCCTTTACATCTATCTAATTAAAATCCTTCATTTTGGACTTAAGATCATCATTATTTGCTTGAACAAAAGAGTTTACGGTCCTATGAATCTTCATAGACCGTAAACCCTTATAAAGGGTGTTCTTATAGCCTTTACCCTTCCTAAGGCTAAGCATGGTCCCTAGAATCTGAGGCCTTTGAATGAAGCCCTTGAAAACCATCATTTGTGCAAGATTGATGAGTTTACGGTCTAGTGTATCTCCTTAGACCGTACACCCTTCAATGACCGTAAACCCATGGACCGTAAACCTTATGACCGTAAGGTCATTAGACCGTGAACTCCATGACCGTAAGGTCATTGGACCGTAAACACTAAGACCGTGAACTCCAAGACCGTGAACACTTGGACCGTGAACTCCAAGACCGTGAACACTTGGACCGTGAACTCCAATGGTCATACCTCTTTGACCTTAAACTCTATAGGGTGGCCATATACCCTAATTATGCAATCATATGTGATTGTATTCCATAAATCTTAGAGTTTCCTAGCCAATAAGGGTGTTACCCTTCTTATTTAGTCGTCTATACACTAAATTCATGCACATACATGTCTATATGTGTCTATTAGGATCATTGTGTGCTCAAGGATACACCTGACACTCTGCACTCCTCTTCCAACCACACGTCATAAACACTCAATTCAGGTGAGTTCATACCCCTACATTTTCCGTGTTTTTAATGTTTTCAGAGGGGGGGGGGGGGGGAATACAAGCCAAACTCAAAGTATTTTATTAAGTTTTAAACTTATTAATACAACTCAATGATTTCCATGTTTAATAACTTACTCGGATATTTTATCCCTTCTGTAATATGTTGAGCATAAGGGAAATTGTTATTTTGGAAATCTCACTTCATAGCTTTCAGAAAGGTTTTACAAAACATTTTCCATAACAACACTAGTAAACTATAATGGGTATAGTTTGAGATAACCCTCTAGGCAGTTTCTACCAAATCAGATTTCATGGATGAATATATAAACTATGGTCGATTTAGTTTATGTTATATGTTTTCTCAGAAGTATAAAGTACATTCATTCAAGAATAATTACTGTTTTATACTGTTTCTAGCTTGTAAACAAGATTATACCGAATTGTGAGGCTCTACTTCAATACTGTACTCTTAGGTGCACAGTGATAAATCCTTTTAGTATAACCAGAGTCTCCTGGAGGGAGAGCGTGAGATTTGTGAATAGATCTATTCGGGACCGACAATCCCACACCTGAACTGCTAACTACAGTTAGGCGGGCACGCCTGGGGTGAACAAATGTCATTTAGCTTAACGTTTGAAGAACGTTATAAAGGTCTCTAGGTCATATCAAGTATGGTTATACGACTCGCAAATAAGTATAAACTAACTTTGGTTTACGGACTCTACCTTTCATTTGTTTTATTTTTAGTAATAAAACTACCTTCATGTATACACTGACAGTAATCAGGGATTTCTAAACTTACATCTCTACCTCTAGGACGGATAACTTGTTTTTAGGGAAAATATGGGATTTTCCCAGGATAACACTGGCATTTCTAAAACTGATGATTTATCTTCTACTAATAAACACTCTTACAACACTGCTTTTCATAAGAAAATATAGGATTTTCTTGAGGAACACTTTTCAAAAAGGATCAAAGAAACATTTTCCACAAAAACTAAATGCTTATGAACTCACCATCTTTATGCTGATATTCTTTCAAAATTGCTTGTATTCTCAGGAAATCAGTAGACAGGTACCTGCTGGAATTTGAGAAGCTGGAGCAATAAGAGTCTTATGTTATTACTTTACATACTTTTGATGTACCTAAAACAAGATTCCAAACTGATGTAAACATTTTACTTATATATGTATCCACTGTATTGGTTGTGTTGCTATGTTTCCTATTATTCATTGGTTGTGATGCTAAACATGACGTCCTCCGCCCCCGAACGTTTCCGCCGTTCCGGTTTGGGGGTGTGACAGATTGGTATCAGAGCCCTTGTTTATAACGAACTAAGTATACCGAACCTTACATGGTATACAACTATAAACACTAAGGGGCCTAAGTGCTCTAAACTAAAAGTATATTTTTGAATTATAAAGTATTTTGTAACAAGTATACTAGTATGCATACATAACAGAACCAGAGTCATAGACAGAACGAAACAAATGTATTTGGATGTTGGGACACTGCGGTTAAACCTGGGCAGTTATGTAATCATATCTAGGGTCAATATAGCCTGATCAACTATATTCATTCGAGACATGACCAGCATGTGCTTGGGAGTGACTTTGGTGTTACAGCAAGCCTAAAACTTACCAAGACAAAAGCATCCGACATAAAATACTATAGGAGTATTTTAGCTAGAGCCAAATTCAATATACAGATTCACTCCAAGTGTTGATACCACATTCTTCTTAAGC